TTTATTCATAAATTTCCACCGTGACTTTTTTGCAAGTAATCACGAATTGCTTCATTATTGCCTTCTAGTTTCTCTCTCTGTAAATCCCACGGTAAAACGTAACTACCATGATTTAGCTTGTGTTATCGGGGACTTAGTGAATAAAATTACAAGCATGCTATATATGCGCACTGATATTTCAAAACAGGATTTAAACTTTTTGCATGAGTGTTTGCTGTGCCTGACAAATTTCCTCGATGTTATTCCCCTGAAGTCAGATTTTGCTTTTTCCACTGTCCTACATTTTCTTAAAAACAGGCTTAAAATTAACGAAATCAGCCTAGGGGTTCATTAACTGGCTCATTATCGGTTTACTTATAAAAAGCGGAAATAGTAAAAATTAACTTCAAAAGTGGGGCTTGCCAGTCTGTTGCTTAGGTCTACCATTGGAAATCGTCAGCTAAGTCCCACCAAGTCATTCCGCCTCTGCTTAGTTCCAACGCTGCTTGCATTACAGAGGAGTCGGGATAAGCAGAACCGTTAAGTTCATTCGTTACTACTATTTTTGAAGTTGACCCCATCCCCTCAATTAATCCATCGTCTGATGTGTCCCTTTCCGTCAGGTTTGTTCCTAGAAGTACTGGGAAACAAATTAGTCGGCTTAGTTATCCATCCTCAGATGGAGCTGCCAAAATCTCGAACTTCAGTCTCCTTTCTGCCTTGTCTGATTAGCGTCCAATCAGCCGCGTTGACTCCTGCCACTGTTGTTCATTGTCTTATAAAACGTTCCTGATGAGTGTTTGCTGAAACTGACAGATTTCCGAGTTTATTCCTGAGAAGATGACTAGATCAGATGCAGCTTTTTCCACTTTCCCGCGCTTTCTTAAAAGCAGACCTAAAAATTAACGAAAGCAGCCTAGGGGTACATTAATAGGCGCACTAACGGTTCACTACATTATCCTTGAAGTCGACCCCATCCCCTCAATAAATCCGTCGTTTGATGTGTCCTTCCCCGCCAGGTTTTTCCCTGGAAGCACTCGAAAACAAATTAGTCGACTTATTAACCCGCCCTCAGCTGGAGCTGCCAACCTCTCGAACTCCATTCTTCTTCCTGCCTTGTCTGATTAGCGTCCAATCAGCCGGTTTGATCCCTGCCACCGTTGCTTATTGTCTGATAAAATGTTCCTGACGAACTTCCTAGTCTGCAGTCGATTCTGCATTAGTCGTACAACGTCGCACTGGGTCTTTGTTTTGTGTGAGGAAACCTAACGATTACCGCGCACAGCTGTGAATCTAGCGATACCAAGTACGTCAAGGACTGCTTCGAGGTTCTACTGGCTTCGCGCACACACGTCCAGCGGTGGCGCAGCACGCTTAGTAAATCTTCGACAGCGTTAGCGTCGCGTTCACTCAGCCAGTTCTGCCAGTAACCTCAGACACACCAATGACGTCAGCAGTCTGGGCGTGGGGAGATTCGCGCTCGTCGTCTGGGTACTTTATGTTGCTACCAAAATCAAATCAGTAGACACTCTATAGGAAAAAAACGTCGGTGAACACTTGTTTCTGTGGTCTGTATGCACGGCCTTCGAGCACATAGAATGGGATTCATCATTTGTTCATTGTTGGTGTTTTGCTATCCAGTCGACCATGGCGATACAATAATTTTGGCAGTTGACACGACTATTCATTTTCACCCAAGCAATTGAACATTTCATACGAGGTAGTCTAGAATAATCACAGAAGATCGGCGAAATCCAGAAGTTAAAGCAGTCCGTCAGACAAATACCTCCCAGAGATCCAGTCCTTCTCACCTGTGTCTGTTTCTTCTTAAGCGCGCGCCGGATGTTAGCGGAACAAGCTGTGGGATGCGGTCGATAAGGAAGTCGAGTGATCGGTCACAGAAACAGACTTCGAAAAAGGGACTGAGACCCCAGCGGGATGAAGAGTGTTTGTCTCCTACAGTCAAAAAGGGAGCTACAGAATCGACCGAGTAACTTGTCAACGGGCTACTTTTTAAGGAGCGTCTGGATTACCCAAGGACACTAGTGGCGACAAACAGAGAAGTCATTAATGAGGGCATTAGGCGAGTTTTAATACTAATCAATATGAATAATCACGGTTCGCCTAGGTCTTTCCTTGTCCATTGAAGGCTGCTTGCAGCTCGGCGGCGACTTCGTGTCTCACTGGTGGCGGCGCGGTCTTTTCCTTCTTTGCCGCCAGTTCGGCGTTGTGGCGAGCAACGGCTTCATGATGTTCTATGGAGAAGAAAAAGACGGCTGCAGGTAGTAGTAGTAGTAGTAGTAGTAGTAGTAGTAGTAGTAGTAGTAGTAGTAGTAGTAGTAGTAGTAGTAGTAGTAGTAGTAGTAGTAGTAGTAGTAGTAGTAGTAGTAGTAGTTGACAGCCATCAATCCCGAGGAGGGCCTTCTCCTGGTCAAGGATGCAGCTTGAAAACGGTTTAGTCTTCTCAGCGTTTATTGTTAAACCGACTGATTTAGCGACCTCGTTCACCCGTTAAACCATAGATTGCAGATCACTAAAACCTGAACCAAGTAAGGTGATATCATCGGCATAGTCAAGATCAGTCGGTCGGTGTCCGGGTGCAAACTCAACGTTTTCACCCTCCTGTACGGCCCTCTCGAGGATCCAGTTAATAGCATAGTTGAACAGAATGGGTGACAGGACACAACCCTGTCGAACGCCAAACCGAATACCGAACGGCTGGGATAGATTGTTGCTGACCAGGTCTCTCGCAGTACTGGAGCGATAATAGACCTTGATCATGGTGAGGATTTTTGCCGGTATACCATCTAGCGCCATTTTCTGCCAGAGGGACTCACCATGAACGGAATCGAACGCGGCGGCAAAGTCAATGAAGCAGACGGCCGTCGGTTGTTGGTAGCTATGGCGAAATTCGAGAATGCGCCTTAGTGTAAATACCTGGTGCGCTCATCCACGTCCAGTACGAAATCCGGCTTGATTGGGCCTCGTCCTTGAGTCACGCTTAGCCTGGAGTAGCCTGAGTAGGACAATAGCGAAGATCTTCGCAGCTACGTCGATGAGGCTTATGCCGCGGTAGCTCTCGCATCTCCTCTTATCTCCCTTCCTGAGGATAGGTACAAGGATGCCTAAGCCCGAGTCATCAGGAACAACCTCGTCTCTCTTCTCTCGTTGTGGCCGATTATACTTGTGAGGCATTGATCTGTTTGGCCATCCGCGAAACCATTTCGCTGGGCCTGAAGGCGCTGTTGTCGGGGTCCCTGGTCAATATTTTCCAACACTGTCTTTCTTCCTTCCGCTATCTGCGCGCACTTTAAGGGGCTATTCCGTCGTAAGTATGCATACGAGACCAGTCGATGAACCAACACTAGTCACCTAATGGGCAGTCAGGAGATTATTTCTTTAAGACAATGAGCGATGTCGTCCACTAGCGCGGACAAATAAGGAGGAGGCAACAAGTGCACGTTGAGGGCACCATCCCTTTGTATTTATTTGTGGTGAATGATACGCTTTTCGAGCCGACTCCCATCTTGCATCGTGCGCCTGCGTGTTTCTATTGCAAAAAGCCTCCAAAAATGCGTCCCTGTTTCTAACCGGCGCCTCTTTGACGTTTGCATGGAACAGGAATTAGGCGGAGACTTCACGCCACCCACGTCCATGCTCCAATTTAACCTTGAGTCATCAAGACCTCTTGGCAGAGGTGGTTGTACGAGGCGTGAGCGAGGTAGATGCGTCACAAATCTGCGTTACTGCGATCTGCCCCATGCGCCAGTCACCGCAGCATCCTTGCTGGCCAGCGGTTGCACTTGTCGCCTGCGACAGACGAACTTGTTATGATGACTTGTTGACAGGCCAAAATGTCTGCTTATGTAAATTACCTTGTCATCGTTCTGACCAGTATCTTGACCGAAATTTTTGAATTTATATCAAAAACTTTAGAATGCTGATTGTTGTCTCGCGTCTAGTGAGGGTAATTCGGCTGTATCCAAGACTATGTGCAACGCCTGTATTTGTATTCTATTTTATTCTATTGTATTCTATTTGTGAACTCAGGTTTTTGATGCTTTCGAAACTGGGTATGCACTATTTTATTTTTTACGAAGACAATCCACGCGTCCGATTAAAGCCACCCATTACTGTGTTTCTGTGTTATGTTTTAGAAGACCTGCGGATGGACGGTTTGTGCATAATTACGGAGTCTTACGTAATGTACGGTAGCGCAGAAATTGGCTGCTTATTAAGAAGAGCTAAGGAGCTACACATTTTCTCATTACGACTTACGAGAAGTGGTGTGATACCAATAGGCGGCGGCCGTGTTGGAACGAGATTACGGTGTAGACTGGGCATTCAGGGTGGCGGAGAAGTCTTAGGGTGATAGGCAGGAGAGTCCGGTGAAGTTGCGAGTACGGCAAAGTCGGCCTGACGATGCCGCGCATCTCTATCGGACGTTCAGGAGGAGAGGTAGATAGAAATGCCAAAATTTGTGGAACAGTTTCCATTGTCAGCGCCTCACTGTCTCGCAGATTCGGAAGAAGAAAGTCTGAAGTTCGTAAGTAGTCATTGGCAAAGTTGAGATATCCGGGTTGATTATCTGAAGACGAAGATAGGCTCTCCGCAAGAAGTTTATTTAAGTGCTGACGTTTCGAAGAGCTGGGTCATCTCTTCATTGTCAAAGCGTAAAATGCACCCAATGGTTATCCCAGGCATTTCATCGAGAGAAGCAGACGTTAGGTCAAATGAGCGGCAACCCGAAGTCTGGAGGGCCATTCCTTACGTTAAAGGGGTCTCTGAAGCGGTCTCGCGACTGCCACAACCCACCATAGTAGGCATAGCCCATCGACCACAAGCAACAATTCGACGTCGCCTGATGCAACCTAAGGACCCATTGCCACCCGCTGAAACCTCAGCGGTCATCTACGAAATAAATTGCAATGAGGGCGACTGCAACTATGTGGGCAAAGCCGGGCGGAAATTGCAAACTCGCCTACAAGAACACAAATCGGCCACTCCGAGGTGAGGCCCAGACTCTCAACTAGCAACACACGTTGGAGAAACGGGGTATACTTCTGACCTTCAGAGGGCTACCATCTTAGGCCGAGGCAACACAAAAACAGAACGGCTAACTCTCGAGGCGTTGTTCTCCGATGCCCACTCTATCAACATGCATCTGGACCTTCCTGCAGCTTACAAAGTCCTACGTCATCACAATCGTAGAGCTCAGGACCAAACAACCACACCGGACTTAAGAAGCCCGCACGGAGATGGCCCGACGCCGAGTTTACTCGGTGAGGAAGAAGGAGAACCGCCAGACCGACCGCCCACCTAATGTCCAATCAGCTCCCCTCGACGGAGTGGTGACTCACAAAGCCCGTCAGCCATCTCCCGATGGGCCGAGGCAGCGAGAGGAGGGAGAAATCGAACAGCATGAGGCCGGCCAACACAACATGCCACTTTAAATTAAATTTCTGATCGACTAAGTGCATTTTGCGCTTTGAAAAAGAAGAGCCGACCCAGCTCTTTGAAACGTCAACACTTAAATAAACCTCTTCCGGGGAGCCTATCTTCGTCTTCAAGTAAGTGCTCATGTTCGAGAACAGGAAGGTTTCAAAATTACAATTCAGGGAAGACGGACTGGACTGGACACGCTTATCTGAGGGGAAATAGTGAAGGCGGAGCTCAAGAAGCAGCTGCCACAAGTCGTGTGTGTGTGAGGGTGTCCGCCGTTGTGAGCGTCTGCTATGCCATGACTGCCAAACCTGGTGTATGCTGGCAGTTCTTTGGCATCTGGTACCCCGCTGGCAGGTACGCTTGCGCTCCCGCGAAGTATGCAGGTCGTACGCATGGCTACCCAGTCATCCTCGTTTTTTTGACCCGTTGGTTGTTGTGTGCCAGGGGGTGTTTCGGTACGCCTAGGTGCGGTCTGGCCGTGTCCTCTACCTGCGCCCTCTTCCGCCTTCGGTCTTGACTATGTCATGACACCGGGCCCAGGTAAGGGAGAAGGAGAGAGTGCGGTCGATACTGTGCAAATCGACCCACACTATAAACTAGTTCACACACGAGCCAGCGTGCCTGCCTCGCCTTGCTGTGAAGCCCACGGTTAACATCGTCAGTTGCGACGGGCGAACAGTTGTCCGTCGCTGAAGTTCTTAGTCCACAGCGCGTGTGCTCGTCTACGTCTGGGCTGTGCTCGCCTTCATCCAGACTGCAAAGCGCGCGGCGTGTTTTGCTTCCAGCTCTTGCAGTCATAAATTGTCAGAAATTCGACCACGCTGTCAACAATATATGATTTAACTCTGTAACGCACCAGATGGCGCGGTCTGCAGACACTGTACGTCCAATGGGCCTTGGATATGATCCCTTTTCTCCAACACGACGCAGTTGGTGGTTGCTCATTCAATTTTCTCCAACGAATGAAAGAACCGTTTGTCTCTCAGGGGGGTTGGCAACGCGATCACTGTTATAGTCAACACGGTAGTATCAGTCCCTGTTGAATTTACCCCGTTGCCTGTTGTGCCACCTCATTCAGATGCCACATTTAGCCATCTCGGCTAACCGCGTCGAACCTCCTCGATCACCACCTCCTGTTGGCAGGAAGATTCATTCTGCCCATACAACCGACACCTCTGCGCTTGACAGCAGGACTCTAAATTGAATCTCGAAGCAAAACAGGACGGGCGTGCCTTTTTAGTCAGTTCGTTTACGAAGCTCCGAATCAGACTGCCATATCCATCGCAGCAGCGTAGGCCATAGGGAGACCCTAGCCAGTTCTGAACAGGAGAAGTGTGACGTCAGTTGAAAGGATGTCGTATTGCGTACAAAATAGTTGAGCATAAAATTGGTAGGAGGTAGCAGTCAGACAATGACACGACCGTCGCCTCGAGACTGGCGTCCACGAGTGTGAGAAGGTGGGGCAGTCGTCCACCGCCTCCAGCAAGGTCACGACCGAGTCAGCCTCGGATAGGATTGGTCATTTTGGACAGCCAACATTGGTCGAGGACCAGACTGCAACTGGTGCGCGCAAACTGGTAGTCGGAAGGGATTTCGATTTTCAACATTCGCCCGGAGTTTGGCCACAAAATATCCACGAAAATGAGTGGTGTGCGGTGAGCTTTTCCCCAAACCTAACAAGCTATCGTTTTTGTGCAGTTAATTTTCCAAAGATGGCGAAAGGCCTAGTATATGTATGGCAAGCCCCCAAGAAAATATTCTGGGAAGCTTCAAGAAAACTTCTTCTCCATGTATTCGCATTTGGGCACATCACGCAGGCTTAGAGCATCCGCGTGATTAACGGCCAAGTGCCACGTAGCAATTCTATAAAGGGTTCGCAAAATTACTGAGCATTATATCTCCTTGTCCTAACACAAGCCGCCTAAGATGGATAGGGATCGTCGTCTGTGCTTAGGGCAAATCTAGCGACACACATTTTAGTCGCATCACATCGTAAACGAATTTGTTTTCCGACCAGCCATTTGTGACCTCTTCTAATTAACGCGCACAATCAAATTATGAGGTCACTCAGCAGGCGAAGTTGTGCCTGCGGATCTTCTACTCTTTATTTGTCTGATTAAACCACTGGATGATCTGCCCAGGTACTTTGCTATCCCTTACTTTGAACATTCTTACTCTTCCGTTCGTATGTGTTAAGTTCTGGCCTGTTATTTGGGGACCAGGTCGTGTGTGGCACGTGATAGGCGGGTTGTTTTGCTTTGTCAGCCACCTCTGCCATCTCCCGGTCGCGACCATCCTGACTTTGACCTGGCCCACGACGCAGGTGGATAAAGGGAGCCAGAGTGTGGCAGTCGTAGCACAGGTCTTCTATAATTATAAACGAGATTGGACTGCATCTTCCCTGGTTGCTGAACTCGCTTGCCGGCCTGTTACGTCGACGGACTTAATAATTAAAATAAATAAATAAATAATTGTTATTAAGGACACGTCGGGATCCCATCAAAGCAAGTAAAAATAAAAGTACATATGAATTTTAGACGAGGTACGCAGAATCTGGACAAAATGCAATTCATGGCTTCTGAATTTGTAGTCCGTCAAGAAAAATGATGAGCGTGAAGTGAAAAAACTCCTCCTGAGAATTTAAAAATGACTGCATTAATTTTACAAGAGAAAATACCTTCGCTCATAATGACACAAAAATGTGGGCAGGGCTGGCTTGCATGTGGCGGTATATAACGGATTATAATCAGACATCGTCAGGGCAGAAATAAATGTTAAACTTGAGGGGCACGGGTTAGACAGGACTGACGTGCATGTGGTATTGTATAAGGAATTCAGAACGGATATCGTCAGGGCAGAATTGATACGCCGAATGAGATTATTCGCTTCAAAGTGGCCAGACAAAAGGAACCCAGACGCGATCGGTCACAGTCCGCTTCGAGCACAGCCGAGGAGGGTGGAAGGGAGATACTACCAAACTACTAGAAGACAGCGAATACAGAGGGTTCCGCCGTAAGCGTCGACAGACCGCGTGTGGTCGAAATGCGGGAGATGACATCAAAAACCGCGTAAATCGTCGCTATGTGGGAGGAGTGATAGCAGTGGACTTAGTAACCAATTCAAAACAGGGAGTTGCAAAGAGAGAGATGAAGGTTTCCACTTGATTTACCGCTAAAGCTACTACATTTCGCTCCACATTTTAGATAGAAAATTCTATCGTCTTTTTCTTTTAGACAATAATGCTGAAATGACCGTAGATCACCAACTGCTCTTTTGCCCTCCAAGCAACTGACGTATTTATTTAATTGATTTTTGCACTGTTTAGCCTATTTTATTTCTCAAATACTAACTGACATTCCCTCTTGTCCATTTCAACTAAACTTTTGAGGCCATCGGTCGTCTATGCTGCCAACATTTCGAATTACGCCTCGAGCCCAGGGTGGGGAAATGGCTAGCGATTGACGAAATGCATCAATTGGCCGACTACCTCTGTTGGCCACCAGGCAATTAGGCTAAACTTTTCACGCTAGCCATAATGGTCTCTGCGACTCTTCTTGAGTTTAATTAATGCAAAATTATGCTCGGCTGATACTTCCAGTAACGAAATGATCCGCTGAATATCATTAAGAACACAGTCAAGTAAGAAATCTCAGTGGTAATTGCATCCCTAGGCGGCTGGCCACTATAACAAGGTGAGAATTGCCTAAAAGTTTTCTTACTTGGTTTATTAAATGCTGAGCAGAATTACGCCTATGTTCTTAAGAATTGACCATACATATAAATTTTTGCCGACCGAAAAAGGTCAAAACGGTAAGAATTTTCAAGGAGGGCGCCTTTTTGAACATTCGCAATCTAAGTTCTCCTTCTTAAAAAAGTGTATTCGGTCACTATCCCCAACCGCATACGCTGTAGTGTTAAAAGAAGCACCGAGACTGCGTGCACGCTTTAGGCGTCTGATGCGAAAACGTCACAAATAATATCAACGAAGAGTTGATGTTCAGGGCGAGAGATTACTAGAATATATGTAAACATATGGTTATCGATATTGGAAACCTCAGGTAGCTTGCTTAAGCTTAAGATTTTGCATGACTTTTGGCTTATACTGGGCCTTCCGTCGACGTTAGCCGGTTACATATGGTAGTAGGGATGTACCTGTCATTTGGCCTACTTAACTCGTGAACGTTTCGCAAGCGGCCTCTGAAATAATAGTTACTTTTGCAGAAATATCAGTCTTTTTGGTCGGTGTCCGTTTTCTGTTAACGTGTGTCAGTCGCCTCTTACTCGTCGCCCCACTCTTCACTGAACTGAAATCAGCCTCCTTGCCCAAATGGAATGCGTCAACTTATTTTCACCCATAGACGAGCAACATGTTTATAATCCCTCAATCGATTGGCATGGCCAGTACCTGAGAAGTCTCTGCTTCTCCGACTTGCATACCATAGCCGAATTTGTTGGTTACGCGCTATATTTGACGGTATTTCCCTTTTCGCGTCCCGTAAGCACTACTGCGTTTTTATATCGCCGGTCAGATAGCGCAAATTTTTCTAAAGTCAACATGGCTGACCCCACCGGCGTTGTAGTTCACTTCGAAACTATCTTGTTTAGACCTGCCGCCATATATCTGTCGTCATGGGGGAGGACTCGATGACGACTCAGCTTAAATCAAGGGCAAGTTTCTATCTCCTGCGTTTGCAATGTAATCTGTAGAAGTAAAAATTACATCTCGGGAATGGGGTGCTATGAGTTCCTTAAACTGCAAATCGTCTATGCTGCCTTGTACATTTTCCGACATTCGGTCAGATTTTTGAAAAACTAGAGATGTCTCACCATGTTCACTGATCATGGCTATCATTGGTGATGTCACCTATGGATTCCAAGTCCGAAATTAAATTCTTCACTTAGGAATCCCCTACACATCTGGCTTATCTGACCGATATCAACCGCTTCCTTAATGATTACATTCATTTGCAAGAGCATATTTCACACATACTATCGCCCAGTACGGCAGTTGCGTGGACTAGTTAAATTCTGTCATCAGAGAAGCCGAATAACTAAAGATATTTCTTTAGCTTAAGACACAATGTAGAACAGATATGAACATGGCTCGCAAAATCGTTGTAGGGCGAGAATTTGCTCCTCAGTCTGTTGATATTTTTGAGATGATACGAACAATCACTATGCGAGGTCACCAATCCCAGTTAAAGGTGAACTACATATGTCAGCCATGGAGAGCGAATCAATTTTCGCTATAATCGGATGGTTGAAAGATAGGACATTGTGCCAAATTTTGTTTTCCTTGCAGAAACCTTGAGACCTCTAGTAGAAGCATTCGCCGGTTTTTTCTTCATGGTCGCAAATTCTCTTGGTATTAGTGACTGAAACGATTGTTATGCAAATTGGTGCATGCAATTCATCCGTATATCTGTAAGGTCCTTCCTATCTTCCTTACATGTGCCAAATTACAACTATGCAGGTATCCACAATCATTTCCTTTAGAACCCATTGCGGGGCCAACGATGATATTTCGGTCTTCAAGTATTTAACCTTCATATGTTCACACAGTTTTCCTAATTTATTTCAGACTTATGTCATACTCATCTCAGTATCCATTCGTTCCCCTAGCGCCAGACTCTTCTAGTAGTTTTAATGTTGGAAAACTAACAATATTTCGCAGATCGAACTAGATTGTTAGGAGAGTATATGAATTTATGCCACGCGAGAATGGAATTCTTTTTACACCTCAAACACATTTCGCAAGTGTATTCCATCAATCAGATCACTGCAGTTCGCGAAGTTACCAATGTGGCTTGATACGTAGATATAACACGACTGCACGTCAAATAAGGCCACTACATAATGATGGGAGGATCGCTTTCGGTAAAATTACCAGAAGTCAATGGGAGAAGGGATTAGATAGCTTTTGCTTATTTTCAGTCGTGGGCGAACAAACGTCAAAAACCGGAAAGGGCCGATACTCTAGTCAAGTTTTAGTTTACGATTTGAGTCATGCCCTTAAGGTAGGCCGCGGAATCATGCGGTGTGAACCACTATCCGCAGTACTACGATTCACATAACAGTAAAATGATAAAATTTTTGACGAGCACCCATCTTAACGCATGTCCGTGTTCCCATATACGAACGCTGATCACTTGACTGTTGAAGACCATTAAGCTAGAAACAACAGTTCTATTCACCCTGTGGTCTACGAAAGAAAAATTTCTAGATATCTGTAACAAATTTTTCATTGATGAAATATCTCTGAACACTCGACACCCCAATGGTGTGGAATTACCACGCACGCGGCACCGAAAAAATGCAAGCATTTTAAGGTTTAGCGCCATTGATCTCACAAAACGCGGCGTAAGCCAACTACTCCGGTGTCAGTGAGATCTTGGTGGTGTCAGAAAATCTATGTGGGATGTAGTAGGAAAAAATATATACAAAGAATAATATCCATTCTTGAAGTGTTCAAAATAAAATAATGGAAACAAATGCCTTTACCAACGCCTACTCATTGTGTGTCCGTCGTGTTGTAAGATCCTGCAACTATGCTATCGAACAGAGCAAATTCATGCCCTTGCCAAACGCATTTTCCAAGTGCTCTACTGTAGAGCATTGCAACGAATTAGTGAAAAATTTTCTCGTAGTTTACTTTATGGTACAGCATACCCTTAAAAAATTAATTCGCTATCTTAAATGCAGTGGAAGCAATGTGAAATATTTCGTTGACTGTTTGCAGTAATCATGCTTTCCTCTCTATCGACTCAATTCCTCTGTCCAAAATGCTCAGGCCATTGCTGACTGCCTATTTGAACCAAAGAACAAGACAAAACTTTGTAAATGTAAAACATTTCACCGTCTTCTTTGATCTCACCTTTATACGCCATGTGACGCATTTTTTCCTCGAATGCTAATTTGCGCACTCCTTTGTTTATTTGAAGTGAACTCTTAAGGCCGTCAGTCGCCAACACTTCCAACATTTCGAAAGACACCTTGAGCCTTTTGCGGTGCGTACGCGCGTACTTCCCTTAGAAATCCTTCGTTATACGCGCAATCATTTGTTGAAGTCGTCCGATTATGCTTATTGCTTTTATGATTGAATTTGCGTTGGGATATAAGGGGATTTTATTTAACACTGAATTGTCCAGATTATACATAACTTGTATAAAACATATTTAGCCCAGAGTAAATATAATCAGTGCAATAATTATAATATTTGTATTATACAATCAAAGAAGCATGTAATTTGTTGGATGAGAAATGCAATGCAATGTGCACTACTTCGAGAGGAAATCAAGCAGTTATCCATTTTTCGAGATATTCATATCGAGTTATATTGATTTGCCCTTCAGACTAAGATAGGTAGACAGCGATTGTTACCGTTTGATATAGTAAACAATAGTACGAAATGTCCAACATGAAAGGGAGCCAGGATTCTAGACAGAACAGTAACATTGACATGCAGTACAAACTATCTGAACTCGATGGCTTTCCATAGGGAAAGCTGATTCATAATCACTTAAACATTTACCTCTTTGAGAAAATTGACTCAGTTGGTATAAATAAGCTGAACGTCACCTATTGCCTTAATTATCGATGGCCCACTAAGACCGCGAATTTTCGAGCGCTGAGTCCGAACCTAGAAAATAAGCAACTTCTCCACCACACTATCAAATTTAGGTTGCTGGCGGGCTCGTTTGCATAAGCACAGTTTGTTTCGCTGCAAAAAGCTGTGGTATTTTTCCAACTTCGAAGTTCCGCTTATAAAAAAGGCATAGCAGTCTCGGAGTTGGTACCGCCATCAAGTCCGCCTATGCCATCGCGTAAGAAGTTTGACTTCTGGACGTGGTCGGATCGCGGGAAAGTAGATGATCTAAGTTGCATCGTAGGAGCGTTAACGCTGCTTAAATTACTGTCGGTTTATATAATTGACTCACTATGCGGCTTCAGCATTTTCAGATAAAATTCTGCTTCACTATTGTGTGATAAGGAACAAATTATACGTGATGGGTTTCTTTGCTGTCTAAGAAACATACCGGCAAAGACTTCAGATTTAACTTCATTTGCGGTAAAAAAAACATTTACTGGAAGTGTTGATTAGAGCTTTACTGTCACGATCGCTGCCCGCTACAATGGTTTCTATCGAATGTGTAATGTTAACATACCTAGCGGGGCCGCACATCGCTGCCAACACACTTACATACGAAGGATAAATTTAGTTTTTTCAGCCTTTCTCCTCCTCCAACACACCTATCACCGACGCCACATAAGTAAGAATATGCTGATGCGTCTAGATTCAGGCTAACGCCACGCCATTGATTTTTGCCCGATCCCTCCTCCGGTATTTATTACACCGGGACAAAGTGGGAGGGGGAGGCGAGTGCGGTAAATGCAGAAAGAATCTACTAACACTCGAAATCACATCACATGATGGACACCGTCGGTGCGGGCGGCCAAAATGTCGTATGTGGGTCGGCGACAATGCATGCCAAGAGGCCTCCTTCTGGACCGGCGCCTTAAATGTTGAATCGCCTCAAACTGTTTCAATAATGAGCGGACGAATTAAGAACTGTGTAAGGTGTTGAGGGTTATTTTCTTAAGGCTTAATGACCATATTGCTATTGTGAGGGTAGTAAAATAAAGGATAACAATGACGCCTTCCGTCGCATATACTACGGAATGTCTGTCAATGGCTGAATCGTTGCATGTGTATCATTCTGAGAAAGCATGCCATATTCGGCCGAAGATACAGTCTGTGGTGTGTTCTTTAGTGAGCTCTGTTGAAACCATGCATAGGACACCGACTCAACATACTTCCAACGAAAACATCGGTAGTTTTTTATTTTCTAGTATTGTTATCACTATGGCCACAGTTCGAGTGCCAAAACGCGCGTTCGTTTGGATCTTACGAAACGCATATAGTTGACACCAGGAAAGACTGTCTGCCGTTCTAAACTGTTGGTCCTCAAATCCCCCCTCAGGAATCTGCGTGTCCCATGTAGGGTTGATCCGCAAAGTAAGGCTTTCTGCTGCTCATTACAGACCCGCAGTTCCTCCGAAATCATAAAGGTTGTACGTTTTTTTCGTTTTATAAATTTTTCTGTCAAAATTGACTACACATGACCGAATTTTTAGCCATCTGATCTTGCACATTCAATGGCCAACCAGGAGACTCAGTCATTTGAGGACGAAGTGGCACTTGTACGATGTCTTCCCGAGTTAAACTGCCTTCGTATGACAGGCGAACTGACCGATGTGATTTTAGTGGTAAGTTTATAAATAAACTTTACTGTTATTTTCTCATTTCAAGCTACAGGACGAAATCTCGCTGCATGTACACAAGTTAGTTTTGGTCTGCAGAGTACCCTCCCTACGTGAATCCTTATGTACAATGCATACGCAAAAGAAGGCTGTCCTTGAGTGGCCAAAGGTTTCCTCTGAGTAATCACTCGTGTTATAATACGACTACCGCACAGAGTCGCTAGACCGCTAATCGATTATGTGTACACGGGCCAGCTGGAAGTCAATGAGGCCAATGCTACTGGCCTGATTGTGCTATCGCAACAACTCGTAATGCCTCAGGTGGAAGAGTGGGCGGTGAGTTTTTTGGCCGCCAGGTAGGTGATATCCAGCTCTCATGAACTCCCAGGTTCAACGCCGAAAACATCAAAAAATACTGGGACCTCGCAAAGTTGCTTAAGAGCGAACAGCTAATGAACGCCTGTTTTCATCACATGAAGACAAACTTTGAAGCCACGGTTGCAAGTGACTTCTTCATCCAGCTGCCAGCTGACACTGTCTTGTCCATACTGCGTGCTGATGACCTCATAGTGGACAGGGAGGAGAGCGTCTTTAAATCGATTGGGCTTTGGGTAAGTTCACCCGGCGAAGTTGAGGAGAATCGACTGGTGCATATAGAAGCAATGCTGCGGGAAGTGCGATGGAACCAAGTTGACGCCGACTTCAGATCCAGACTGTTAAATGAAGAAGGTTTTTGGAATAAAACTATGGAGTGTTTGTAGGTTGCGGAAACGCCTTTTACCTTTTGAATTATTTAAGTAAACTTCTAGCTCGCGTAATCGCCTGGATCGAACATCCATCCGCGAGAGTGGATGGAGAGTGTCCATTTAATGAAAAACGCAGAAGGCCATTGGGCGGCATCTGCCTCATTGGCAAACTAAAAACTGGTCTGCGGTGTTTTATCGAGTACGATGTCGACGCAAACACTTTGAAGCCACTAGCAGGTGTAACAGGTTCATCTAACGCGGTCTTCGTGGCCATTGAAGGTGAGTCTCAATGCATTGGAACTTTTCGGGTGCTGTTATACCTGTCTTTGTTTATTTTTGACTGTCACCTGGAATCGATGTTGAACGCGGACTTGTAGAGGGCTAGCCGTTAAGTGGCGTTTGTCGTGCTTGCAGGCGAGAAGGCGCATTCAGATGGTTGGGTACGACTGTTTGGAGGCAGGTATGTCGGAGCCGAAATCGGTCGAGTTGCTTCAGGTCAGCGGGTGTGAAACGGCTCGCTGCAGGGAGCTGAATGACCTTGAGGCAGAGAGGCCTTGAACGGGAACAACAGGCAGCCATGGTGGCTGTCGGCAACATTGATATTTTGCCGACCAATATCACATGCTGTTCCAAACCTCCTCGATTTTGCCCTTGCGACTGTTATCCATCCGTTGTGTACTTGCCTACTGAACGCAGTTTACATGTGCCAACCTTGACAGCCATCTGTCTGCAGTTGTTTTGGTCAGACATTCGTCGCTCGGCAGATTCATAAGGGGTGACAGCGTTTTACATGCAAAACGACTGCCTGCTTCCATCGAAAGCGATTAATGGCTGCGTACTGCTGTCTAGAGTGTCCAACTGACCTTCTAACGCTTCCAAATTGACAAATGATTGCGTTTCGTCTGTTATTACCAGCGTTAGTGTGGTGACGATGATGGCTTTTTACAAGCTCCTGTCTTCTCTCCATAACACGCCGATCCAACGACTAAATTTCTACCCGAACGCGAAGCATGCGCATCGACCGTGTAGTGTTTGTGTAAACCGGATACTTACCTTAGAACAAATTCCGCAGGATTGACATTTTTGCGCGAAAGACGCTTATCTGAATGTGCACAGGTTGGTTATGGTCTGCAGAGTACCCTCGGTACGTGAATCCTTATGTACAATGCATACGCAAAAGAAGACAGGCTAAATGTTTCCTATGAGTAATCACTAGTGTTATATTACAACTTCCGCCTAGAGTCGCTAGACCGCTAATCGATTATGTCTACACGTCTGTAACCATAAGCGTTAGTGTGGTGACGATGATGGCTTTTGACAAGCCCCTGTCTTCCCCTCGTAACACGCCGATCCGCCCACTAAATTTCAGCCTGTACGCGCAGAGACATTTTTTTCTGCGAAAGACACTTATCTGTCTTTTCGCCTTCCCGCAAAGCGTCGCCCACTGTAAGCCGTGGGAGACTAATCCCATGCCCCTTAACTGAATGCCTCCCGTCGCATAGAAATAAGTGAAGAAATTGGTTTTTTGTCTAGTCTTGTACTTTTCTCCACTATCCAGATTACTGGGCTTTTTATCGGTGCTGGCGTTCAGTAAGCCTCCGCCCCCTCACCGTCGATTTAAAGCCGCGCAATGGAAGACGCATGCTGCGCATAATCTTTCAACTTCTGGCAAGAACACTTTTGCTATTGTATAAGCCTGTGGTACAAGAGTATAAGTCGTTGTAAAACAGCATGTCTGTGCCAGATCCTCCGACTTCATAAGAACACTCATTGTGGGGTAATATATCGCCTTTAAATGTGTATTTTCTCGCATAGTCGACGCCTTTCGTTGATATCCTTGACACTCGTTTTCGTATTTCCTCACTTCGCTCCTTATTGCATTGAAAACAGGCTGCATCTTCGCAATTGGAGGAGATAAAGACGATGGCAGCTTTCTAAATGTTGACAAATTTGATACGAAGGAACTTCGGTGGAAGGAATGTGCGCCGCTCTCCAGCGGACGAATGTTCCTTGCGGCAGTTGCCGTCCCAGTCGGGCAGGAAAACGTGATTTGTGTCTTCGGAGGAGTCAGCCGTTATTACGAGTGTCTTGACACTTGTGAAGTCTACTCTCCACAGGAAGACAAGTGAGTCTGCTGGGTGTCGTAGCCACATAGTAAAGTACATGGCGATTGTGTTCACCGCCAAAGATGAGGCAGGCTTGAGTGAACTTTTCTGCCGTATGGGATGGTCGTAAGTCAACCGTGCTCTTCTCCCAGACTCGAGGCCTGAGGGCATTACGCACTGCATTAAGACAAAGCGTCTATTCTGCTTTCCTTACTTAAAATGGTCGCCGATTAATCTCCTGTCTTAACTTGGCCTCTCTTTGCTCAGACGTAGCTTTAGTCAAAGGCAATTTTCTACCGCCACTTATGTGACCTCACATTCTGGCCGGTCAGTCAGAAAAGTCTTTGGCGTAGCTTAACAGTCTTCTCCTTTAGATTCTTTCTCAGGTTCCACAAGCGTTATTTGTAAACTCACTGAGAATTAAGCGATCGTGATTTGGCAGTTTTGGTTGAAACTCTACATTTGGTCCAAGAATGCATGAGATACAGATTTGCTGAAAATTCCGACTAAATTGTCTGCACATACCGCTCAAAACGCGATGTTTGATGTAGCCAACTGCAACAGAGCGACTGTTACCGCACTGGACAGTTTCCTGAGAAGAGTGCTCTGTTTGAAATCTGTGGTTACGGACGGCAACCTACCGGTAAGATTTGAGGCACTAAAGCCTGTTGAAACCTCCAGAAGTAGAGCAATTTTTGGTGCATTTATCCTACCCTGATCGACCCTACAGCCTCCACTCTCCGAGACCTAAATAGTGGCCCTGCAAAGTAAAGCTAGGCTTCGATGGGGGATCTCTGATCTCTTACTAGGTAGACTGTTATGAAGTTAATACTAGAGCTATTTCAGTCTGTACCTTAGTTCTGGGTAGGCCCGAATAGTTTGATCAGGTGGCATCCTTCTGAAGCACGATTTTTGGTCGTTGTGATGGTTTAGAAGTCTGTATGTTATTTTATGGTGAGGAAACTGCACATTGAATCGACTTCACTTTCGCCTCACCCTTGTGCCAGCGCCCCATCCGTTCAGAACTGACTTGAGTCCAGACCGAACTCAGTGAAGCCGCTCTCGCCTACCACGTGACGCGCATGGACTTAAATCTCAGTAGTAGGAGCAAATTGACGAAGTCGTAATGGGTAGTCCGCTCAGGCCAACTTTCGCCGATGTTTTTTTCTGGCGCACCTAGAAGAAAAGGTGTCACTAAAACTTAACATGCCAGCATTATGCAGGTTCTACATGGATGATAAATTCCCGAATGTTGATAACAAGGTAGACGCCTCCGAGCTACATTGTGTAATGAATAAGTTACATCCAAAAATTAAATTTGTAATGGAAATGGAGCAGTGTAACAAGCTACCCCTCCTAGACGTTCTCATGCTTAGAGAGGATGATGATTCACTACGGCGCTCGGTTTTCAATAAGATCACGTGGAAAGGGCAATACTTACATTTTGAAAGATTTGCACCAATGCAACGGAAAGAAGTCTATTTCATACTCTTTTTCAAAGAACGATTAATATTTTCACTGATCCACGTTCCAACTCGGGACAGAGTTTTCATGTTATCTAGCACCCCCCATGTTACGTTTTTAAACGCGCTTTTTGTCGGCTTCAAGTGTGTCAAACTTGCCCTGCTGACTGGATTGTTTTCATAAGTAGGCCACCGTTGCAGTGACCTAACTGAGTCACCCTTTTTACCGTTGTCTTCATTTTAGATGGTATAGACTACCTGGTTTAAAAGAAAAAAGACAACGTTCTACCGCTGTTGCGCTGCCGGACGGTCGCGTGTTTGTGATTGGCGGCCAATGTAGTGACAAATTGTTGTCCTCTGTGGAGATGTGTCATTTACGAGAGCCAGCAGACTGGCGCGGACCACGAAAGTCATTGGACGACTTTTGGAACAGTTTTTGGAAAGCTGCTGCTCCCATGATATCCGCATATGAAATCCGCGCAGCAGTTGCATTCAAGGGCAGCATCTTTGTTGCTGCAGGATCCGTTAACGTCTTTGCCCCGCCCGACAAGCGGCGGCCGTTGGGACAGTGGACAAGCCTCCCTTATTGTGGAATGACGGGTTATTTAGGCGCTTTCGTCGTTAACCAGGACAGACTATTTTGTTTCCGTAAGTCAACAGTTCTGCCTCCCCAATGACTTGAATTTACTGTCCTCGAGACTGTCTCAGATCGACTGAAGGACTACTGATCGTGAGGCGTTTGACTGTCAAGACCTGCTACTTTCTCTCGTCTTTTTAAGCATTCTCCCTGTATTCTTATTACAACTAAAAGATCGGAAGGGCACAATTCTGAAGAATTTGTTGGCATCTTCAAATAGAGATTTAGGGCCACACGCAGTGGTCCTTCAAGGTGATATGTTTTCAGAGTGTCAGCTCGTTTTGATAAGTGGCCGGTCGACTATCGCGGACAGCGGCGTCCAACTCTACCCCAGCAAAATGATCATAGCGTCAGTCATCTTAGGATTCATTTTGATGTGAGACAGCCGTTCGCTTCCTCTGCCACATTCTTCATTAATAATAGAGCGCCAACTGCTTGACAGTCTGGTACAGTGTACTTTCTTCAGTGCATTTTCATGCAACTGCGGCCCAATTTCGTCGCGAAAACGGCGGCCAAAGTCCGTCTCACACGCCTCACTTGGTCGAAACTGCATAGGGATATTCAGGTTATATATATGCATAATACTATTACCGACAAAGACAAGGGAGACTAGAATGGCCATTTCTGGCTTATTATCCGTCGTCAGCCAGTCACATCCAACCCAAAAGTGTGGGACACCCGAGGCTCGAACTTGCAACCTGTTAGTTAGAAGTCCAACGCCTCTAACCAGTCTCCTTGTCTTTGTCGGTAATACCATTCTGCCTATATCATGTGCCGCTCTGCGCGATTTCGAGTTTGGTTATGGTGAAGATGGCCTCATAGGTCAGATTACTAGAGCGTTCGCTGTACTCAATTCATGCCATGGTGGGGTGCGTTCACCAATCGTTCTTACGGAACTCACTCCTTCCGTTGTGCCTTACGGGTTCTCTCTCTCGAGCCTGGCTGACGAGGGCTACTAAACCAGAAATGGCCATTCCAGTCTCCTTTGTCTTTGTCAGTAATAACATTCTGCCTATATATCATGCGCCGTTGTGCGGCTACTGGTTAGGCTCGAAAGAGAGCTCTAAGGCACAACGGGACGAGTGATTTCCGTAGAAACGATCGGTGGGCGCCTCTCTACCATTATATATAGACCTTTGCTTGGAAGGTTTCTTAGCTTCTAAGTGAAGCCGATGCTTTCAGGAAATAACGCTGAATTGCTACGTTGCGTTTTTTACTTGGGCTAACTCGGATGGCGCCATCGATCGGCTGGTCTTGTGTATAGACGGGTCATACTTCACCGCCAGACATGCGTAGTTTTGAGCTAGACTATGCCTAAAGACAGTGAAAAATAATCCAGGGAATTCTCAGTTCACTTGTCCCCCTGTTCAATGATAATTATGCTTTTGTGTATTTGTTTTAGCCCGTCTTTTTTTACGACCGACTGAACGATTGGGAATTGCCTACTTTTTATAGTATGCCGCCTGGGAGATGGCTGTACACGGTTCTCGATTCTACAGCATAACAGGAGCTTTTTCGATAGATGACAGTTGCCGATGTGTCGTCTAGCGTATGTCTTCCATAACTGGGCAACCCTCATGATTATTGTTCTCACGCTGGACAAGATGGCGGTTTCAGGGATCTCCGGTCGATTTATTGCCTAAAAGCCAAATAGGAGAAAATGAATGCACTGGCACTAAATGCGGCTTGAAAAGTCATTCCAACCAATCGAAGGTCTATATGAACTCGCGGCGGTATATTATTCCGTGCATAGTATCTTCTCGGTTCATCCACTTCTGTCGTTATAGGTGTTGCACTGATGGCTGTGACTAAATGTGAGTCTGGGCGTTTAGTTCGACTGCCCCCTGGGGAGTAACTTCCAGGTAAACTGCAAGACTTCGTCCCTAATAAGACAGTCAAGTGTCGATGCCAACCCGATGTGACGGATGGTTGGAGCAGATGGAACATTTTATTCCTTTCCTTCTACATGCGTATTGCTTTTATTATATTCAATGCTTCGTATTCGTCTGCAGTGCAAGTGAGGTTAGAGCAGCTAGCTAAAAGGTTGGTTCGTCTCTGTTCTCCAGTACATGCAGATACTCCTAAAATCCTAAGAATCCTCGGCAATAGACGAGGTATCGCTCCCTTGATGGAATCCTTAGGGCCGATTTGGTCGATGATCTATCATTTTACCGACGACTTATCTATGTGCAAAAACGGTTTTTCCACCAGCGTACTATCAGAGCCAACTATAGTTATGTGCCCACAACCTCTTCACATGCATCCCTACTCCCCTTCCTCACCCATTCCCAACATATTTGGTTGTTTTGACCGGTGACATGCCTCCGCCTTCAACTTTTAATAAAACTTCAGTTGGAATTAATCTGTATCCACTTCCCTTCTTCTCATTGGAGGTAACGATAAACAAGAAGTGTCAGTCAGGGAGTTCGTCCCGCCGTCAAGTCCGCCCATGCCATCGCGCAAGGAGTTTGACTTCTGGACCTGGTCGGATCCCAGGAAAATAGATGCTTTAAGCTGCATCGAACAAGCGTTTATTCTGCGCTGAGATTTTTCACAGTTTTTAAGCATTCTGGCTTAGTGAAAAATTTGTTAGATACGCTTACTTGTCCTTCTTCTATTAAAGTGTCTCGTGTATCAACTTCCATTTCCGTGTCAAATACAAACTTGGGAATTGGACATCAGAGTCAGTAGATATTACGTACAGCTGCGGTCATGCCTGATCTACTTCAAATCAATAATCTCGTGAGGCGGATCGACAACAACATTCCGTCGTAATTTGTTCCGCTCCCTGGAGGCGAGATGGAGTGTCGAGGCCCCAGGGGTCACTTCCACGTCTCGGAGACTTGTGTTGAGCTAGGCCGCATGCCGATCATTTAGCCGCCTCCAAATGGATACTGAGGATTGGCTTTCAACAGCGGCACCGAACGTTCTGCGTGGGGCAACCCAATCTTCTACCACGAATAGCCAGAAATAGTTTTGTCGTCACAGCAGTTCAAACCGTCTCACTCAAGTGGGATGTCAGCTTAGATTTCAGCCAGGATAGATCTTGTAAACTGTCGGTGAAGAATCTCCAATTTACGCATGTCGGCAACGAACGGATTTGTGGCTCCACTCGGAAAACAGGAAGTAAGGATGTCTGTAATGCGGGAATAGCAGTAATGAAGGTTTTATTGATGATATCTTCGAGACTCGCAGATGGCTACTTCCGGGAACCTGAGGGGGGAAGTACATTTACGCCGCTAGGCGTTTGGATACACTAACGACGCATGAAAACGCAAGATCACAATCGGTGATATTGGTAATCATGTGCTGTAACCGAGTGGAAATCGAGGTCACTGGCTAGATATTCCAGGCAAATTGGTCTCAAACCGTGATGGCCATTCGCATAGGGGGGAAAGTACAAAGCCTATATCGCTTGACGCAACGCTTGACTCGCCGTGATAGTCTCAGATTCGAGTCACACATGCAGCTGGAGTTCCGCATGGAGACGGAGTCAAGAGGCAAACTTGCGTGGGAGGTGGCAATTGGATGCTTGTGGTGGGTGAATGTTGATGTACGATGAGATGCTGGTGAGGAAGGATGTAATGGTGTGATGCAGCCGACGGTTGTCTACCGTGGGTTTTCGTGGACGCGCATGTGGCCCAGCAGACCCATGCGGTGAATGAATGTGCGAGTACAGTGTTGGCAGTGTAGGCGGATGCGGCGAGTGTAGGTGTGATAGATAGGCAGAGCCTAGCTTCGGGTAGCCACGTGTGAGAGTTGGGTGCCAGCAAATGGACGCTAGGCGTAGTCTACACCTGTAAACAAGTGAGCGAGCTACTACGACTGTCACGCGTACCCATCGCTGGACACCGCTACACCCCGCCGACGACAACAACTACTACCTCGCCCAATCCTCCCACCGATGAGAACACTGCTGGCGCTACTCCACAACACCGAGGCACACGCACCAATAACTGGAGTTCAGACGTATGCCTGTCACATCCGATCAAGTTTTGCACACTGTCTTTGCACATTCGCTCGCCTCATGGGTCTACATGGTAACGTGCGTCTGCAAGAAAATATGCGGCAAATCATCATGCATTTCTCCAGCAGCGCATGCACTGCACATAGACACCTCACAGGCACATGTTCTTCGGCATTTCCGCATTACCCCTCTGCAACCAGTAAAATCCTTGAGAGTGGTATTATATATATATATATAGGGGCCTGGTCGTGTGTGTAGCACACCCAGACGGACTGTTCGTAGTTCCGTCTGCCACCCCTCCAAATCTCAGCATCATCTGGTTGACGTAACGCGGTAAAGAGAAGAAAATAAATTGTGGCCGAATCCATCCTCACAATTACCAAGCGAATTCTTCAGCATAATGAATCTGGCATTCTAGAATCTTTGGCGACACGTTTACAGTAGTCACCGGTTAAATAAGGAACTGACGGAGGGGAGGGTCCGGTAGATACTGCGCAGTCCGTTTCGTGCGCAAGTCACTGGCGTTGCGCCTGCGCTGGCAAACAGTTGATGTCATCGCTTGTGACGTTCCAAGCGGTTTCAGTGTCGATATTTGAAAAATACTCTAATCCATGCCGCGCAGACAAAACTCTATGGGTTATGTTTATGAGGTAATTTTATTCCTGCTACCATTGATTACGATTTTTATGCAGGCGACTTTTTGCCAATACCAGTTGTCCCTGTCTTTTGTCGGCGTCTATAGTTGAGGGGATGTTCGCGGCAAAGGACATTTGCGCTGTCCTGGACCCAAATATAAAGTAAGCCAAAGCGGGATGTTAAAATCGTTGGTGGGGAAAGTAGACGAAGCTAAAACGGTAACGGCAATCAGGTGTATGACAAGTCTGCCGCGCGACTGAAGGAAGCCGCAGAAGACCTGCTTGACAAGACACATGGGGCGGCGATACCTCAAACCTAACCGTAACCTCAGAAATTAACCTGATTCATAAGGGAATTTTAAACCTAACGCTAACTCTGAACGTAACACTAAACCCACCGCAAACTCTAGCCCTAGCTCTAAGCCTAATTCCGACACGAATCGTAACCGTAACCTCGAACCTAACCATATCCCAACCCTAAACTCAATCATCTGCCTGACGCTAACCCTCAACCTAAAATTAACTCTACCCCTGAACCGCAACATCAGGCTACCCTTCTCCATTTTAGCTTCAGCTTCTTTCCCACTAACGATTTCAGCACCCTTCTTGGGCTTACTTTACTTGCAACGCCCACCTTGCGCTAACACCTGGGTCCAGGACAGCGTAACCGACTCCTACTGAATTTTTTGCAGTCCTTCACATAACAACTTCTGTGTCCGCTCTCGCATAAGTCCTGCTGGACTTAGCTTGCACTGCCGTACTTAGCAAATCAGTCTTACTTGTTCTTCAGGAAATCTATGAGGCTTGATATCCGAACTGATGTCAGAATCCCTCCTAACCCTAAAAGTCCATAGGATCAGATTTTATTCCCTCCGTCTGGTTACGCGTTCTGGGTATCTCCTGATACTCACTGAATAAAATGCCACAGACACTATCACACCGTTGTCCCGCATATCCAGGATGCCATATCGGTCTTAACTAGAGTTTAAGACAGTAACTAAAATGCCTCCGCTCACAGATGCCCAGGTCACTACTGTCAAGCCGACGCATTTGGTTTTTTGATTACTCATCAGCTGTGCTACTTCTTTTTGGAAAAATATCTGATTGCGAGCAGTTCGGTTGGACTGTTTCTTTTTCAACGTGTTTTAGCAGTCTGGAAACTGTAAACCCATTTATGTTCTCCGGAAATGTAACAACTCAAAAATTTTTCCCCACGCCATATTTCCTTCTTTTGCTTCGCTGTGATAATGTAATAGGACAGAATGTCTGACAAATGGTTCGTGACTTATCAGAGGAAAAGTCTCGATCTTCACAAATGGCAGAATTAACTTCAAAAATGGGGTTCGCCAGTGACAGGCGTAGGGAGTCTGTTGCTCAGGTCTACCACCGGAAATCGTCAGCTAAGTCCCACCAAGTCATCCCGCCTCTGCTTAGTTCAAACGCTGCTTTCATCACAGAGGACTCCGGAAAAGCAAAACCGTTAAGTTCATTCTTTGTTACTATTTTACCTTTGAAGCTGACAACATCCGCTCAATTAATCCGTCGTTTGATGTGTCATTCCCCGCCAGGTTTTTCCCTGGAAGTACTCGAAAACAAATTAGTCGACTTACTAACCCGCCCTCAGCTGGAGCTGCCACACATCTCGAACTTCATTCTCCTTCCTGCCTTGTCTGATTAGCGTCCAATCAGCCGGTTTGATCCCTGCCACCGTTGCTTATTGTCTCATCAAACGTTCCTGACGAACTTTCTAGTCCGCAGTTGATTCGAGGTGTTTGGAAAACGCCCTCGTCATTTTTGTATGTTGCTTGCTTCTGGTCCAGTTAGGTACTTCAAGCTGTAGGCGGTTGGCCCTGTTGTCTGCAACGGGGAGAGCTGACGTTGTCCTTGGGGAACATTGTCGTCCGTTGCAGTAGCTGTGCCACCTACCTTGCCTCTGTCCGACGAACGGCGCCCTGACCGCCGTCGTGAGCCCACCCATATCTAACTTGGCCTTGAGCACCTGATAGGCCTGGCATCTCAGTAAATTGATGTTTCTGTTGATAGACAACAAAAGTCGAACGGCTTCTTATGCCTTCGTTGGCTGGCCGCTAGGAAGCGTCCGCTCTCCCCTGCAACGTCTTTACGTGTTTCAGCGTCTACTCACTTTTTTCTTTAATTTTAACCAGCCCACAGCTTTATACGATAAATAGCGAGACCTGTAGTTTATGTTTGCGTCTTGCCCTACTGTTCCCTCTGATTTCGTTGCCTCCAAATGGCATAGCATTAGTCACCCATTCAGTCGAGTGAAGGTTTCTTAATCTGGTGACTTCGTGTGCCTACTAACCTGCGGAGGCGTACAACGTCGCACTGGGTCTTTGGTTTCCGTATAAGCAAACCTAACGATTACCGCGCGCAGCTGTGAACCTAGCGATAACAAGTACGTCCAGGACTGGTGCGAGGTTCTACTGGCTTCGCGCGCACACGTCCAGCAGTGGCGCAGCACGCTTAATAAATCTCCGACAGTGTAAGCGTCGCGTTCACTCAGCCGGTCCTGTACAGTAATCTCAGACACACCAGTGACGTCAGCAGTCTGGGCGTGAAGAGAGTCGCGCTCGTCTGGCTACTTCCTATAGCTACCTAAATCAAATCAGTAGTCACTCTATAGGAAAAAACATCGGTGAATACTTGTTACTGTGGTTTGTATTCACGGCCTACGAGCCCTCCAAATGTGGAGCATAATTTGTTCATTGTTGGTGTTTTGCTGCCCAGTCGACCATGGCGATGCAGTATCTTCGGAAGTTGACATGACTATTCATTTCCACTCAAATAATTGGACATTTCGTACGAGGTAGTCTAGAATAACCACAGTAGATTGGCGAAATCCAGAAGTTAAAGCAGTCCGTCAGGCAAACACCTCCTAGGATCCAGTCCTTCTCATCTACGCCTGTTTCTTCTTAAGCGCGCGCCGGAAAACAGAGACCGGATTTTAGCAAAAAAGGCTGTGGGATGTGGTCGATCAGGAAGTCGGGTGATCTGTCACAGAGGCAGACTTCGAAAAGGTGCTGAGATCCCGGCGAAAGGAAGAGAGCTTGTCTCCTACAGTCAAAAAGGTGGCTACAGAATCGACCGAGTACCTTGTCAACGGGCTACGTTTTGGGAAGCGTCAGGAGTCCCAAGGAGACTAGTAGCGACAAACAGGGAAGTCATTTATGAGGGCATTAGGCGAGTTTTAATACTAATCAATATGAATAATCACAGTTCGCCTAGGTCTGTTCTTGTCCATTGAAGGCTGCTTGCAGCTCGGCGGCGACTTCGTGTCTCACTGGTGGCGGCGCGGTCTTTTCCTTCTTTGCCGCCAGTTCGGCGTTGTGGCGAGCAACGGCTTCATGATGCTCTATGGGAGAGAAAAAGACGGCTGTGGTCGTAAAATTTGCCCAAAACCCGAAAAGTAGGGTTTCAAGTTGTAGTCATGCTGGTGCTAGTAGTAGTAGTAGTAGTAGTAGTAGTAGTAGAAGAAGTAGTAGTAGTAGTAGTAGTAGTAGTAGCAGTAGTAGTAGTAGTAGTAGTAGTAGTAGTAGTAGTAGTAGTAGTAGTAGTAGTAGTAGTAGTAGTAGTAGTAGTAATACAATACCTTTTAAAACAAATGCGCTTAACACTATCAAGACACAACATAGGCTCGACAGAAATACCCACACTGACGATACGTACTTGGTCGTTTAGAGTGAAATCGTTACACAAATGTCCGAGTCAAACGCACAAGCTCAGTACTGAGAACGCATCTATAACACCATTTTGCAGCCGTCTCAAGCGCGGAAAAATAACCGTTTTCACTGAAAACTGATGTTAAAAAAACTGGTTAATATCACTCAAGGTAGACTGACTCTGGTTACGCGAAATGACCAAGGAAACCAGCGTAGACAATGTTACGATGAAGACTAGCCAATTCTGAATGCAGTTATTACGTTTGTAATGACTTCTAATGGTGTAAGTTTAGATGAATAGGATCAAACGTTGACTCCCGTGACCAAACTTACCCTCCGCACCTGTACGGCTGCGATCATGTTTGATCTAGCCAGCCTCGATGATGTCACGAACTGTACCTCCCCATGCCTGATGATCCGTGGCAGCAGATCTGGACAGCTCAATCCATTCCCTTCGCCAACGACGGAGACCGAATACTGAAGGTACAAGAACATGTCTTGACGAGCTGCGTCGAGCCAGATTTTGAACTGACCCCCTCTTTGAAGCCTCCAATGGGGTGACGGTGCCGGATCCGGGGCAGTAACACTGAGCTCCTCAGGTGGACGACGAAGAACATGCCTGGACCACCTCAGTCGTCTTCCTTGGATGGCCTAAGTTATCCTAGCGATGTTGTCGCAGCGAGCGCGGACTGCCTCATTTGAAACGAAGTCGGCGGACTTCACTCGAAGGATGGTCCTCAAGCAGTGGTGGTCAAATACCTCCAGTTTTCGCTCGTCCTCCACGCGCAAAGCCCAGCATTCACAACCGTAGAGAAGGACAGATCGGACAGATGCAAGCTACACGCGAATCTTAGTGGCGATGGAGAGGTCACATCGGATCCATAGGCATTTCCGAAGCGGGCAGCATCGATTCGGGAGACAACGTCGTCCTTACTCTGTCCATTAGGCAAAAAACCTCGCCCCAAGGTATTTAAAACTGTCTACTTCTTCAAGTTGACAGCCATCAATCCCGAGGGGTGCCTTCTCCTGGTCAGGGATGCAGCTTGAAAACACTTTGGTCTTCCCAGCGTTTATGGATAAACCAACCGACTTAGCGACCTCGCTCACCCGTGACACCATAGACTGCAGATCACCAAAACTTGAGGCAAGTAAGGCGATATCATCGGCATAGTCGAGATCAGTCAGTCGGTGTCCGCGGGTGCAAACTCAACGCCGTCACCCTCGTGTAGGGTCCTCTCGAGGATCCAGCTGAACAGAATGGGTGACGTGATAAAATCCTGTAGAACGCCCGACCGAATACCGAACGGTTGGGGAAGATTGTTGCGGACCAGGACTCTCGCAGTAGTAAAGCGATAATAGGCCTTGATCATGGCGATTATTTTTGCCGGTACACCATCTTGCGCCATTATCCGCCACAGGGACTCACGATGAAGGGAATCGAATGCGGTGGCAAAGTCAATGAAGCATCAACAGCAAACAGCTATTACAAGTAAAATATACTGCCCGGCAGACGGACAGGTGACGAAATCGAACCATGAACTAGCCGCAGATGAGAGAGGACGGGATGCAGCCGGCCATCTGTGAGTAATGGTCCTACGCGAAGCCACCCCTCTAACAAGTCGTCCGAAAGGCATGAGGAGCGAATAACTATGGCCCGCGTCCAGTGGGTGAATGGTGCCGCACGCAGAAGAACCAACTCTTCAAGTAGAGGTTGCTGGTCTCGCATCGGCCGGGGTGAAAGGCGGTCCTTCCTAGCTGGCTAACTGCCCCCCGATGAGCGCGTAAAACAGATCCTATCGGTGGCGGTCAGCCAACTGGGTCGTTCTTCAGGAAGCCGTTCGCGGCAGCTGACTCAACTGGTCAATCACTTGATGTGACAGTCTGCCAGTAAGTTGTAATATGAACTGGCGAGAAGAAACTTACGACCGCTTCAGCGGTCCGTTTGACTTTAATATAATAATTTTTGCCCGGCACAGTCCATGACATGTGACGCTCTTTCGGGAGACGATGGGATTATATGCAGTTATCAAGGAGCCAGTTCATCAGTTTATTAGTTATTTTCTTGTTTCGGACGCCTCATATAATAAGCACACTTCTAGGTTCGAAAACAGTTGACAGGCGATAAGGCGCCTTGATGAGCACTAAAGTGAAACGAGACTTACAATCAGTCCTAGTGGAGCAACATTAGAAAGGCCGTAATACCGCTTGACTAGGTAACAGGTGCCGAGGTGCGCTCGAAGCTATTGCCACCGCGGTCTTTGACGGTTTAACCGTCAGACTTGTGAGCCGGTGTGTTTAACACTCAGTCTTCACTGAAGGCCAATTCACCGTTAAAGCACGGGGAAGTCCGCAGGTAGGCCAGTATTTTCCTTCGAAAGGCTTCATAAATATGCTAGTCGTAAAAAAAACCTATGAAGCTGAGGTACTAAAGGCCCCTGCAACTAGCGTCAAAGCAGGCGGCTGTAAACATGTGTCGTAAATGACAGACTGTATACGGTGGATAGAAAGCAAATAAGACTGAAGCAGAAGAGTGGTAGAGGATTTGCCCTGTCGGGGGCCTAGTTATGCTCGAAGGTATTACTGCTGCCGAACACCTGGCTGATAAATATTCAGACCTGGGAGTCGACCTATTTACAGCCTCACTATGGAAGCGTCGGATAGCCCGCAGAAAAACCCAACAGGCAAGAGGTGCAGCGAATGGAGGGTTACATACGGTGGATAAAAGTGACCCTTGTGGCGGTGTAAACAAACCTTTGAGGATGGGGCAGTACTTTTTGTGGGTGAACCAGTGCAGACGCTGGCAGGCGGTGGAACAGTAGGCGACTTCACGACAACGAGAGCAGCGCTTCACCTGCACCTCAGAGCCGCCACCGCCCATGTCAGCACAGGTGGCGCAGGGCTCGGTGTCTAGGCCGCGGCCGGTGGCGGATCGTGAGAAGGGCGAGAGGCCGTTGATGCTGTTCTCCAGGATGGACAGCGCCGTGGGGCTCAGACCGGGTTCCACATCGCTCACTTGACGTACCACCTGCTGCCAGAGGGTGGACTCCATGCGAGGGAAGGTGGAGATAGATCTGCGCAAGAAGCGTTCTTGGCCTGCGGGCGGTAGGGGGAGGGGACAGGGCGAAGAGCACAAGCTCGTTAATATGCGGATCACAACGAGGGTGTAACGAGATGCATACAGCACTGGACCTATCTAATGAAACCTGATAACGGAAACTGATGTGAGAATTTCTGGACGCCTTTAACGTTGCGCATTTTGTCCGCTCATCCACTTCCTTCGGTGAAATGTCTTTTTCTTGTGCAGAAATTGTGTTCGCATAATTATGCCAAGCAAAATATTAATAAATTTTAGCGAAAATGGACGTTGCAATACATCCGTGCAATTACCTATGCTAATACATGCCCTAGACTCCGATAACGCATATGAGCGAGTTTTTCATTGAAAGTAGAGTAATTTACCCGCGAGAGTTCTAATAAACAGATTAAGCCAAACTTGAAAATTTATTTTATGCCCGATGCTAACCGTGGTAACCAACTTGCTAACACAAAGTTTATTTTTAAAAATCCCAGGTTTTATCAATTCCTAAAAGACATCAGATCTGTGCGATTTGGTGTCCTAAAGTGCAGTAATAACGCTGGCAAGGATGCCCTTGTTTAAATAGGCTGAAATTGATTCGCTGTTTGGGAAACTGTACTTGATGTCACATAAATGAGCGCCACCGAATGCTTATTTCCAGTTTTGAACAGATGAAACGCTACTTGTCATGTAGTTTAGCTTCGGTGCATATCTTATTTAGAAATAGAACGAGCACAAATTAATAGTTTCAGCAAAAATCAGCATTTATATGGGCGCTCTGCCGTGCATTCAAAATCGAAAAACGGGGTCTAAAAGCGAGCAAAAATAGTGGAGATGGCTTCAACGTATAGAGAAAGGCATGTTCTTATGTTTACGGTTGAAAAATATTAGCCCTGTTTAGAAACGTGAAAAAAACGACCAAAAGTGTCAAATTTTTTCTTGGCCTCACAGTGCAAAAGTGCAACTTACACAGAGATCCGTCAACGGAGTGAAGTAATAAAGCACTTCTTAAAGAGGTAATTTATAAGGGAAAGTTTTTTATTGATCGAAGGCATATTCGTTGTCAACTTTCGTTGTGGCCAGCCATTTTTTTCAAAAATAAAGTTTGCTGTTTGAATGAGTATTTACATGTGATCCAAACGACCTTCTTCGTGAAAAGGAGTGTCCAAATACTCAGTAATTCGGTAAACGCCTTCAATAATTATCTTATTTTCAAGTTTTTAACGGACAGGTAATTCAGAATATGTCTTTATGGACGATCGGATAAAAACACTGAATATCATGAAGTATTCAGCAATATTGCGAGACCGATCTGAAACTCAGCGTAATTCAAAACAAACGAAAAGTGTAAATTAATTTAACGGAAAAAAGTTCTTTTTACAAACACAAAATGGTGTTTACGATCACGCATGTCAGTTCTATTTAAGTTTATCAGGCACCGATCGGCCTGACAGCATGTCACCTTATGAAAACTGTTGTTCCTACGACGTCCCCATCGGTGAAATCAAGCAAAATCCAGTTCCTCTTGTTAAACCCCATCTCATTCGACTCAGAGGAGTCAAGAATATCACGAATCCCCAGAAAACTGTTTTTGAATCTACACTCAGAATGTACGCAGTTGACCACTAACCGCACTAATTCGCAAACGATATTTAGATGTAAACTTCCCTGAAACAGTATTATTAAACGTCACTTTATTTGTACTTTCATATTCATTACGTCTTTGGTATGAGAATACATTATATACATCTAAAAACGAAGTTTACCAAATTAGAGCCATTTTGACGTTTTCGGGATATTGCGCTTGTCTAAAAAAATTAGAATTTCTTAACAACGCAACACTGCCTTTAATATTTCTTTTATGTTTTTATTTCTTTTAAACTTGTGCTTAATTAACATAGACATTGGACTCATAAAGTGGTGTCGGTTTGCGATTGATTGGTAATCATTCGTAAATTTCGAAACCTTTCATGAGTTAGGTAACGCACTGTACCTTGCTCAGATCTACTGTTGTGGAAACATGGCTCACTTAAGCAGTGCCCGCTGTTTACTGCTGCAGGCTATAATAAACGCGAAGTCAAACCAGCCGAAAACGGATCCGAATCTGCACTTGGCTAAGTCCTTTGACGTGTTAGCTGCCAGGAAAGTCTTCGCCGACTGCATAAAGTTGGATACCCCAGTGGTTTTTGATTCGTTATACAAGTCTGATCTAGTACGATCTAAACCACTGAAACAGTCGTTACTTAATCTGATTTTTGGGCCTTGTCCTCGGATCCATCGTCGGGTATATCCGAAAATCCAAAAAAGAAATCAAATGAGATTAAGGACTAATTCATTCAATTTTCGTAAATGGGGGAATGGCCAAAGCGATCCTCATGCCAGTTACCAGTCAGGGGGACTGAGTTGTGTGTAGAATGGCATTGCTGACAAAGACAAGGGAGACTGGAATGGCCATTTCTGGCTTATTAACCCTCTTCAGCCAGTCATATTTAACCCCGAAGAGTAGAACACCTGGAGCTGGATCCTGCGACCTGTAAGTTGGAAGTCCACGCCTCTAACCACTGGACCACGAGCCCGTTACCCTGTTGGTTTTCGATGTGGAATACACAAAGGTAGGGGGTGCTCACCGATCGTTCTTACGGAACTCACTCATTCCGTTGTGCCTTATGGGCTCTCTCTCGAGCCCAACCAGCAGCCGCACAGCAGCGCATGATATCGGTAGAATGGTATTAGCGACAAAGACAAAGAGGACTGGAATGACCATTTCTGGCTCATTAGCCGCCATCCGCCATTGTATATTCCCGATGGAAACCGACAGGGCAACGGGCTCGTGGCCCAGTGGTTAGGGGCGTGGACTTCCAACTAACAGGTCGCGAGTTCGAGCCTCGGGTGTTCAACACTTCGGGGTTGGGTATGGCTGGCTGACGACGGCTAATAAGCCAGAAATAGCCATTGCAGTCTCCCTTGTCTTTGTCGGTAATGTCATTCTGCCTATATCATGCGCCGCTGTGCGGCCGCTGGTTGGGTTCGAGAGAGAGTCCGTAAGGCACAACGGAATGAGTGAGTTCCGTAGGAACGATCGGTGAGCACCCCCTACCACTGAGTTGTGTCTCGACTTGCCTGTGAAACGCCGAATAGGCGGCGATACCATGCACACTAGTAGCTGCAGGGAACACGCGCTAGACAGAGTTTTCGATTACTGTGCCCAACCTTGTTGCTAGTCCGAATTGCAACTGGGAACGGAGGTCATGGGGAGGGCAAGGTCACTTTCAAGGGGACCCAGTACCTAATTTCTCATTCAGTGTGATCTGCATCTCAGAAACTATCGTTACTTGACTTAGTAACATACTACATGGAGGGCAATTTGCGCAATCTAAACTGATTGTTTAAAAAGTAAAATAATTATCTTGGCTGTTTCGGAAACAACCACTTTTTACGTGTTCTTGATGTCTGAATGTAACTTTATCAGGACGAACAGCCTCTCATTCGCCTCGTCGGAGAGCTCAATCCTCACTCTCACTTCCTTCTCTCAGTGGTCAGAGTCAAGTCTACAGAATAGCTAGCGGTTACCATTCGTCTCATTCTAATACCCTTATGGCTTGTAGCCTTACTGGAGAGAACCGATTTTCCAAATCTCTACCCGGACCTCACATACGTGAAAATCACTGGAGTCTAACCCACGTTGCAGAGGAACTATTTATCCCATCACTACCTAATTTCTTTACGAGTAATAACCAAATGCGCTTTGCAATTAGCATGTGCTAACCATCATGGTTTGAGAGTTGACAACTGGCCGAATGGCTCAATCCCCCTTTGGAATTATAGGTAGATTACAGTGCCTGTATCCTTACGTGACAGTGCAGTCGCAGATAGAATACCTCCTTCTTGAAGTCCGGTTCGTGTGAGCGTGGAGGCGAGTGTTTCCACAGAGGGCGCAGATGTGATTTAAATCTCGTCGGTCAAACGCCCAGGAGCATCTCTAGGCATCTCGACTTTGTCTTGCAAATCAAAAAAAACATTCGTGGCCTTACTGTGGGTAACGGGTTTTCCAACTCGGTGTACGGACCTCACATACGCGGGGCGATATAGAGGCCGCATCAAGTGGAAATCACTGGAGTCTAACCCTCGTTGCAAAGGGGGGCGGGGGGAACTAGTTATTCCGTCTGCTGCGAAACCTTTCAGAACATAGACCGGGGTTCTGCGACCGTCCATAAACACAACAGATCCCGGCGGAGAATGGCAGCATAGTGGATGGATGACTTCGCGTGGGACTGAGATCCCAAGGTGGAAGTATCCTTCCGCCTCCGACACAGAAGTTTAGGGTTTCATGAGCGCGCCGCACCGCAACGACTGTGGCCGAACTTAATAACAGTCAACATTTGTCCCCTATGGCCTGTGATCTTACTGACGGTAACGGTGCCCAACCACTCCTGAAGGGATTACCGCGGCTACCTTTTCTTCGGACCTTAGGGCCTGTAAACTTTGTAGCTAGCCTTCGGTGGGGACAGTTCCTCCCATGCCCCCCCCCCTTTCTCTCGGCGGACGAGCGACATGTGCGCGTGAGCACGAAAAGGAGGCGACAGGATGGCCACGGAAACGCCCACAGTGTGTGATGGCCACAAATATCCACGCCTAGGGCATTATCTCGACGTAGGATGGGCAAAGTGTTTTTTTCGGGCGGGAGTGAAGAAATGGGCGTGGCAGAGACTGATGAATTTGTGTCTGTCCATTCGAATGCGAAGGCCTAGCAACGCCCCTTTCCCTCTCTCCCCGCGGTCCGACCAGTTATGGCGTCCTCGGAAATTCCCCAAATTTGCCAGCAGTCTAGTTCTGTAGAAAAGCGAGAATTTATGCAGAAATATGGTTTGCTGGTCTGTCGTTCTTGCGGGGAGCTGCGAAGGTGTCCTACAAGTTCTGAGTGCGCGATGACAGCGGGGGTGTAGAGTGAAGGAATTGAGCACTGGCAGCCTACTTGTTCAGGAGCTCAGGACTAACTTCTCGCCGCTGCTTCCCAGCATTCTCGACAGCTCCACGTCGAAGGACGCAGCTCCACGACTTCAAGAAGTTCATCAAACACTAGACAGAAAGCCTATATGACCGTCGCCAGGTCAGTTAACGGAAGTTTCTGAGGCGAACTACATGGATGTAACCCGACGTAGTCTGTAGTTATAAGAAGAATCAATTATCTTTTGGCGAGGCATGACTGTGTAATTACGACCTCATACACCAGGAAGACAAGTGCCCCCCTAGAACGGACTCGAATCGCGAAGCTCTCGAATCCGCATGGTGCTCCAACAACCGGAACTACAAGGAATTGCCAACCGACTGTGTAAATGTTAAAATTTTCCTTAGCACTAACCAGCAATTTCATTCAGCAAACGAATAAATTAAAATGCTGATCGGACAAATCCATATGTTGCAAAATTTTAAAAAGCAGTCTGTTGGCGGAGTTCGGCCAACTTGTCATGATCTTCAGTACCTACGCTACGTCCAGCCGGAATGAGCACCACTTGTAATACTCAGGCAACCGAACAACTGCAGTTGCGCTATCCGCTGCGGTGGACAGTCATCGAAACAGTTTCGGCTCCCGACCCCTGGGATACTAAATTACCACGCGAATCTTGGCTCACGCATGTTCTATCTTTATTGCTTCAGGCTGACCAAGTGCGGAGTAAATCGTCGATTTGTCAGCCCCCCTTAATCCGCCCTGTGCCCTGAGATTGAGATGCGGCTGGTGATGATGGATAACATGCCGGAAACGGCGGCATGCTTTGTCCTGCAATCGGACTAGAAAACTGACGCTTTTAGAATAATAATTAAACACTTGAGACTTTTAAGTCGCGGTTTGTTATTATAAACGGAAGACCTCACCGGAAAAAACGTCCTAACAATCCCCAGCCGCGACGCACTACCGAATAGAACGGGAAGTACCAGAGGGTCGCATATGTAGCCTGCCTTGGCAACGTATCTATCCTCTTTATAAGTTGAGACATTTAGCAACATCACCGTGATTTTCAAGGGTCATATCGTGCTCTAACAGACAAAAGTAGCCAAACACGTGTCTGGGCTTTTGTCTAGTACCTAAGAGGTGTTTGTGATTAACGCCTTTTGGAGCAGTCAGGTATTCCTGTTATGAGTTGCTATGTTATCAATAAATGCGTATATATACACTTAAGACCCCACAACGGAGAACAAAACGGTCGTCACGCTGGCCCACGGTACGCGCCTACAGGGTTGCGCTGATTCTGGGCGGGTCTAGAATTACAACCTTGCATCCGCGTATGGAGACGTGCTCTAGATGTAGACGTTTAAAGCGCGTCAGCCACTGCATTCAACCCCACCTCCGGTTGATTGGCAGGCTCAGGCAATCGACTGGTGGATGGGAGAGTGAAGTAGACACTGGGAAGACCATCCACACATCACACCGGCGGATTCTCGGCTACAGTAAATCTGACAAGCTTGAATCTATAACGACGTGCTATCAGTCGTGGCTTAGGAGGTTGACAACTGATCTCAAGATTGGGGCCGGCTGTAATGGCTTGTTCTTTGTGGTACATACGCGAGATCCGAACCGTCCTCGCAGCAACCGAGCACACACGGTGGAATACGGGTCGTGTGTGGCATGCGTAGAGGGCTTTATTTTTATCAATCTCAGGATTGAGGCCGACTGTAATGGCCTGTTCTTTATGTGCTCTTTGTGGCACTCTCATGCACGCGGGATCCGAACCGTCCTCGCTGCAATCGGGCACGTGTGTGGCATGCGTAGAGGGCTTTGGTTTTGTCAATCATTGCGTTCACGTCCACCTCCGATTGCCTTGACACTGTCTTCCCATTCGAATAGGGCGAATGGAGGAAGAGTGCGATGGATGTTGCATAAATTTGCTCCAGCATAAAATAACTCACGCACAGGTCACCACTGCTGCGTTCATTCTGTGAGGCAAACCATGGACTTTGTTTCTGGCGACGTTCGAGCTGTCAAAAATGTGAAAACTATAATATTGCTTATTTTTTCACGGTGCGTATGCCTATTAGAGGTAGTTATCAATGGCGTGGTCTATGTCCCGCAATTGTTGTTTGGGTATGCAGCAATCGTCGTCCAAATGGAGTTATATGCGTTAAGACTTTCGGCTTTGATATCCTCTCCCAGTCGGCAGAGAGCGTGATCGAACCGTCTGAGGCGGTGGGCTTTTAGCGCAAAGGCGACAGGCAGTAGCTCCGAGGATCGGTGAGTTTTGATGCCCAAGGACGAAGAAACAAGAATCTCTTCTGACTGTCGAGTACGGCGGCTAGCGCAAATAGTACATTATCATGAGGAGCGCGCGAACTGTTGTCGCCAGAGCGCTGTTAGCACGAATGGACACTAACTGACCCACAATTTGTTTGAAATTCCGTGCAAATAAGTTCCTAGAATGCCCTGATCAAGTTTACGAGTCTCGTCAGCCTCCCATCAGCCTCCACGGCTTAGGAGCGAGCACCAATGTGAATTGATTTGAACACTACAGCAAAACAGAACAATGTCGCTGTCCTGAAACTCGGCAAGACCCATGCTAGGATTAGAACCGTCTTATTTCCGCTACATCCGTATGTGCCTTGGGGAACGCAAACGAGTCGGGCGGATTTGCAGTCATTAACACTATGTGAGTGATGAAAAAGGGTGCACCCCCAGCTGGCAAATTAGCCCTGGCAGGTGGAGAAGTGAGATGGTTAAAAGAAACACGCAAAGTCAAAGAGAGAGAGAGAGAGAGAGAGAGAGAGAGAGAGAGAGAGAAATACCCATCGGCAGGCCGTGGGGGTCCCCTCCGCGTAGGAACAGTTTGATCAGTGGCTCCAGGCAGATGGCAGGCTCCTTCTGTTCCCCCTCCTGCGGCTTGGAGCACTCGGAATCGTAGAATTCGCCAGCGCGCCTTACGCAGCAGGCAAGCAGGTGGAATTTTAAGGCCAGCGCCTCGTGCGTCTGATGTGGCGTAAAGTACTGCTTCAACAGTTCCTCCAACACCGACACAACCGACTTCCACTGCTCCAGCAGCGGTTTGCCAGTCGGCGAGGAGAGGTAGAGAAAGACCTGCGAAAGACGAAAGTTGTAATGTCTCAGTAGTGACGGTGTTTGCTGAGGGTTGCCGGGCCTGCCAAATACGCTTATGCGGTAGGTTGCAAAGATAAACGGGAAATAGAGAGGCGTCACTGGCTCCAAAAAAATGACCCATCAGAAGAGGAGGTGTGGGGCATTGCCAGCTCGCCATCCAAGTACTTGAGTGTATCCACGGGATGGCAAGATGGTCACAAGTCCTACTATCCCCTATCAAGGTGTGTACCTCAATGCAGAGGAATGCTTTCAGGTACACGAAACTTGTGACCCGACCCTTGATGGCTCAATTTCTAAACACTGCTGACACTTCCGTGAGTAACCTTGGCGCGGGGTCGCAGAGAGGGTAAAATTGAGCGAAAATGAAAAATATGCAGAAAAAGTCAGGTTGCGATTCAAGAGACCTTTCCCGAGAAGGCGTTTAGAATAATTGGGCAATTTGGATATTAGAGTGACGTATCAAGTAGTGGAGTCAAGCACAGGGCTCCAACTAAAATCCCGTGGGTTACGCATGTACCTTGCCCGACGCGCGCATTCCCAATAACGACTGCAAGTGGCACATGGACCTCCGTTCGGCTGTGGTCTGTTTTATCCTTTCTGGCCCTCGTTTGGCGCGATAACCGGCGGCCCCGTACGACCTCCTGCCTTGACTTCTCCCTGTCAAATACTGATTTAGGGTCGCATAGACCGCGCTTAGGTGGGAACGTCAATAAACCCACTGGCTCGTTGGCGGCCATGAAACATACTGATAGATGGTTGTGTGTTTTTAAAATGGGCAGCCCTATTAGTCAATGAAATCGAGAAGCTTGCGAGCATGAAGGCAAACATGCATTCCAGCAAAGTATCTTATGAATTCTCATACAGGCCGCTTTTCAAGATGAAGTCAATCTCTAAAGAACGATCATGAGTACTTTCTCATTTTTTCGAGGAAAAGTACGTTAGTGTTTTTCCCAAGAAGGATCATCACGACTGCCAGGTTTGCGAAGCGTCTTGTCAACGCTCTGTACGAAACAAAATCAGTCATCAGAACGAATTGCCGACAAAGGCACAGAGACTGGAATGACCGTTCCTGGCTCATTAGCCATTATCCGCCACTCCTCTGAAATCATCAGAATGGGAGTCAAGTCGAAAATGAAAGCTCGTTAGGAAAGGCCAAATCTCAGTCAACAGGACGCGGGGACCTAGTCCAGTTGATATGGTTATTGACTAAATGATCACCTATAATACCCTGGTTTTACCCCAGGATCTTGCGGGCAGATGACGGTAGAAGGGGTCATAGAATGGGGGGCCGATTAAGAGCAAAATCTTAGCTCCCGTCCTACTCTAGGCGAGTAGTCAGTGGAAGGTTAGCATTTCACTGCTCTAAAATGAATGTACTATGTGTAGTCTGGGTTTTATCAGTGGTAATACATTTGGTTCACAAGGGTCAACCTACTGTCGGTAGCCTTGGAGTCAGGGAGGGTTTTGGTTTTACATGGCAAGAACCCTGGAAGAAAAGACATGGCTGGCGGCCACGGGGATTGTGTGTAATGGAGAGCCTTCCGAGAGGACTAGCTGTTAAATGTGCAGGCGCTCAGGTTTAACAAATAAGCAGCCAAAGAACATACAGTGTGGTTGGGCACCGATCTGATGAATCTGCCACCCAGGAAACGGTTACAAGCTCTAAAGGTGTTATAGCATGATGGAAACTGCCTACCCTTAGGCAAGGCTTCACCCACAGCCATTCGGCACAATTTTGGAGCCCCGAGTTTGCGTGCTGCGAGGGGATTATCGAAACGCCCACTTTCAGGCTTACAAACTACAAAAAATCATCGCACTACCAAGTGGCTCCCACAAAACCAGCGGCCATTTAGACTATATCAACGTAATGTGGTGGTTTGTCACCAAACAACAACATTGAGGATTCATTTGTTGTTTGCAGCATAATTATCGAAGACTGCAAGCTGTAAACTGAATGGCGCATGTCGGGATGACGGGGAACTCGCCACGTTTAACTGTTCCCTTTACTGAGTACCGTCTATGCAATTTGGGGGAAAATAATCAGCCATAGTCAACCTTTAGGCGGTGGCATGAGTTGTTTTTCTAAGAAAAAGTCAGTAATTCCTGCGGCAGGATTGGCAGAAAAAAAGACCGTGTTGGAGAGTAGACTTAAATCGTTCTGTCTTACGGCCTCTGCATACTACTAATGCGCACAGGATATTTGTGTCAAAAATAGACAGTGCGGCTGCATCAAACAAGGATCAAACATGTGCCCTGTCATCCACCGTATTCGGCCATATCCTTGGTCAGCGCGACTTACGCGGTTTTTTTTCATGAAGATGGAGGTCGATCGTGTGCGGTCTTTCCTCACGACAATAAAAAACACCTGTCTCAGGAGAGTGGCGTACGCCGATTTATCCTTTCGTCATAAGGCTGTAATCCACGCGGGCGGTCGCATGACGAGTTCAATCAGTTCTGCCTGTATGAGTTCGAAGCTCAAGCCCACCGGAACCTGAAGTTGGGCTACCAATAGTTTACGACGCAAATATGCAACAAGCTGTCATCTTAGTGTTGCTGCCGTTGTCGCTTACACTTACATACGATCTGAGCTAAAAGTCACACAGCGCTGCGGAGTAAATAACAGAAAGCCCTACAGAACGAATGGTCCCATTTTGGCTTAAGTACTTAGTTTCGTCCTTATAATGCTAAAGGCCTGACGACCAGCAACCGGAGGACGTTTCCTAGAATCACTCTAAAAAGACAGGTGATAAGCTGCGCAAGAACCCACTGCACCGCTGGTGTTGTTAAGGTTGCATTTACACGACACATGCACTACCGTCCAAAAGGGGATAACTTGATTAAGTGATTGCACTTTTCCCCAATCGTCTTCAGAAAAAATAATAACATATACTATCCTTGCATCATTAACAATACATCACACACAAAGCAATATTTGATAAAAACACATCAGTCGCTATAACTGTTCCAGTTCGAGTCAGGCTTAAGCTAAATTTGCTTCGTTATTAACAATGAAGGTCCAAAGCCCGGACGTGCTTTCACGGCAATTCAAAGGTGAAGAATGATTACATTCATTTTGCGAGATCGTTAAGAAGAAAACAGAAAGAGGGCTTACTTTAACCGGTGCAAAATTCAGTCGGACGACAAGATAATGTAAAGGGTCGACAAGAACAGCTGGGATTTTCGCCACATTCGCCTCCTTTCGAGTGGAAAAGAAAGCAATCTTTTCTTTGTCTATAAAGTTGCTTATTAGGGCAACGACGAAGTAGTTTCCTGGAAATAATGAGATATGAGAAGTTAGTTAATTACCAACAAACGCAGCCATCTCAGAAGCTGTGCGATTGAGGGAGTTCGTCGCAGAAACTGAAGCACCACAAGACAGGAGAAAAGAAACTAAATTAAGGTTTCCGGACTAAGTATATGTGAACGTGGGAGATGGCATACGATAGCGGCAAACATCAGGGCCGTATATCCCTGCTTGTGTTTTGACCAGTTGACGTCCGCACCGTGGTTAACAAGTATTCGGGCGAGTTCAACATTGCCCCTGAAGCAGGCTTGTTGTAAGGCAGTCAGTCCTTCCTAATTGTTCATTAAATTTCGAAAAAAAACTACCTCATCACATTCGTCAATGTTCATCTTGTTAGACAATATAACCTCCACTCTAGGAAGATCCCCTTTGACAGGGGTATATAATTTGCAAATGACCTACCCTTGGCCACTGCATCGTGCAACTGTTGAATTGTATACACGGGAGTCTCATCGGTGCCCATTGAAAAAACGTGAAGCAGGCAGGCGTTGTGACTGGTGGGGCTAAGCAGCAACAGCGGAGGTGCGAAAAAAACCACATGATTGAGGGATCATTACCTCAACCTATGAAAGGCCTTGATTATCATTTGGTTAATCACGTAGTTAATTTAAATTCTATAAATACCCTAGTAATTTGTGACTGCTGACTTCAACAGAGGTGCCTCTGCCTAACGCTCCACGCAACTGTGTTAAAGAGGTTTTGGGCTCAAACAAGCGCTCACGAACAGCTACAGACAACAGAAGGCAAGATACACTCAGGTGAAAGTACCTCAAGAGTATGCATAAACATAGTTTTATGCGCCAAGAGGAAAAGAAACTTTATTCTGCATACGGGGACCTCTGCGTTAATGACTAAAATCATGGCTCGTGGTGGGCCCGTAGTTCAGGGTGTTAGAGCGTTAGCTGTACTCGAGCCGTGCGCTTGCTGTTGTGGTTCGAATTTAACCGTGACCGCCAATTTTTTCATAATAATGTCAGCCGAAAAAGACTTATGCTTTAATACTTTGCTTGTGGGCTGATTTTGCATTTTTCCTTACTCGTTAGTTTTGATTAAATGTCAGCATGTTTATCCGATGATGGGTAAACAACTCCCGAAGTATTTGCATATGGAAGGTAAGTGAAGGTCTTATGCATCTTTTGAGTAGATTAACTCTCTGACGTAGTTCAATCGTTCAAGTGCGCGAGAAGTGGGTCGAAAACAGTTCTATGTCTGTTTAGATTGAATGCGAACAAATTAACCGCTAACTTTGCTAGCACGGCCATTACAATTTTTAATCAAAAATATGTGAAGTAAAGCCTTTTTGTCTGGCATTTTCAACCGGGCTTTGTCGTCACTAATTGTGTCAAATGTCGTGAGTGGAATGTATGCAAAGGTATGGAATATGTTTATGCATCAGTCCACAGGTATAAACACGGTGTTTGTATGAAACAAGCTGATGTTATTCTGGGTAACGGTACTATAGTTGCAACAATTACAACTCTATTTAAAAAACTTATGACTTAATTTTTCAAACTAAGATACTTATAGAACAACGTCAAGTGTTTCTTCTCAAGGCTCGATAGGCAGATTCCGATACATCTTTAGACGTTGCACCTCCAACGCAAACGTGGCTTCCGAAGATTATTTAATGTCTGCTTTGCAGGTTTGTCGGGATTTTAAGTATGTGTGTAGCAAATCAATGACGGTCAAATCTGGAAGATATCTGGTTGACCAAAAAGACTTCATTTTGTCCAGGGAGACCAAAGAAGTTTTTGGCGACAAGGGCACTTATATAGTAACCGATTCTCGGAGTCCTATCCGTGTTATTTTTACCGACTTCGGAGGACGGATTCGACGATGATACATGTCCACTAGAGAACAAAGAGTTGGTCGCTAACAGACCTAGTTCTATCGTTATGGGTGACTGTAGTGTTACCAGCATTCGATGGACAGGCATACAGGCAACGTGTCCGAACTCTCACTTCGAGTGCCATCTTACGAAGAAATCAATTGAGACCCATCTTAGATAGTCCGTTTTACCTTTAACGGGAGAACATTGACCTTAACTAACTTATTGCATGCGTATCCTTCTCATGAAAGATCCTGGCAATGTAGCGGAATTATACTTCATATTTATAATTCATATTGACCCAACTGTGAAAAACTCGGCGCCTCGGCGGTATTCGAACCCACGCAGTAAGGGGAAGGCTTTAGTACAGCCAACGCTCTAACCACCTGAGCTACGAGGCCCCGCCGGACGACGCGAGTTTAATCACATTTGGGTCAAGTTTACCCGCCCAACCTACTGCAACGTCTGGAATCCACCAAATCTGGTACCTTCATGGTTGCATTTCAAATACTCGCTGTCATATGGAACAGACGCAGTGCGGTCAGTGGGGACGATTATCTTGACTTCAGACTGGGATTTTCCCCTCTTAGAAAATCAGCGAGGACTATTCGATGGATCATTAAATTCAATTCAATTCAATTATTTTATTAAAGACCCGTCGGGGTCCCATCAAAGCGTTTTCTTGATCATAAGCATGGAAAACGAAGAATAACGGACAATGCGACATATGCATTTCATGGTGGTTTCGGTCGAATGGAAGCACGGAGATGATTTCGTTAATATTGGCTTGCGTATTTGTAAAAATTAAATGCAGATAGTTAACTCCTTGTCCCTTACCTGTTTTATATGGAAACATAAGGTGTTTTGTAAGTAGTGGCTTCAATTTTTTATGTAGACAACATTCGTCGGAGGGCGATTGTTGGCGTGACGCTAGTATGGGGCTACAGTCAATCCTGTTCCGTTCCAGTCACCCGTGAGCATGACATTAGGACGACTGGATAAATTCTCATAATGTTATAATAGATGATTGTTGATCATTTGGTCCGTTCTCTGTGGTCGGTAAATGACGAGTAGATTGAGGTAAGGGAACCCATGGGCCTTGCTTTTCAATCAAATTGCATCAATACTGTGCGAAAATTTTGTAGTTCTTTCTGACATAACTCCTTTTACATGAAGAATAATCTCAGCAGCCAGTCAGCTTCCCTGCCTCCCAGATACACATGTTATAACGACAAGGCTGTTTTGCTATCAGGGATGTTTCCAGGCAGTCAGTTCTCGATTAATCCTATCACGTCCAGAGATAATTCGGTTAGGTAGAGGCTTTGTTCATTTAGTTTAGATAACAGGCGTTGTGTACCTTAACTCCAAGCCTGCCAAAGTTTGGTTGTGCCTTCAACTGTTATGAGCCTTACTACACCTCGTCGGACGTCATTTTTGCAAGCATGTTCCACCACTTGACAGTATTTACCAATTTTTGGTTTTTGTGAGAACAATGTGCGTTTCCGGCTCAGTTCTGCAGTTACACTGATCGGCTGCACTCACTGTCGTGTCTTTGTCATCTGAGTGACTGCTGCTGTCCGTAATATCGAGTGAGTTGTTTAAATGAAACTGAGACAACTGAAACTGAAGTGGTTTTCTCTTGAAGATGGCCAGATTGTGTTCGCCACCCGTCAGTCGCAATTTTAATTCCGCGTTAGGGGCGTTCCGCCCAGGAGTTGACCCGCTAGAAACCCCTTATGAAAGTTCGGTTATGTCGGAAATGGTCACCTTCCTCTGCTTTTTGCCCCCAATCGTCCATAAATTCGTTCACGAGCCGAACTTCAATGACAGTTTTCGTCGATAAGAGAAATAACCCTGTCGGTGGCTCCCGCACCTGGTCAAAGTGAAGGAGCGCAGCTTATATTCCAAGGACAAACGAAAGATTGTTCTTATTTCTATATTTTTGACACCTTATACATATCATTTTGAGCGCGAATCTGCGAAAGCATTGTACAAAAATAGGGTCGGCAATGGCCCTGCCTCTAACCCTCTAAAAACATGCATGCCTTAATTTTGTGTCACACCTGCACTTTTAAGCCGCATTGGACCGTATTTTTCTTTGTACTGTTGTAAAAGAACTGTTGTATTTGCCGTAGTGAATATACTGAAGCAAATGAACGACATTTATCTCCCTGCAATTAAAGAAAAAATATTGCCTGGCAGGTTACAATGCCGCGAAAGAAACTTGATTGAAAGCGAAAGCTTGCACCCTCCTCTCTATCACTGAGTGGCGGAATTGTGGTCGGAGTCACAGCGAACACCTGTCTGCCTTCGCAGCATTCTCGAGATTTGGGTAACTTCAATATTTCTGGGATCCATCTCAAACGTCCCGACTCCGTGGTCGCTCAAGACGATGCCTCTGCTGACGGTGACAGAACGTCAGATGATGAAATATTTGACCCCTTTCCACATGGAGTAATTAAAAGAGAGGCATCAAACAAGCTTTCAAAACCATGGTAAAAATTAAATCTGAAACTCAGGAGGTGATAATATTTAAGTGTAATTTTATACCGCGCAATAACCCCAACCACGCATCTGCGCCAAATAGGACAATGCGCCCAGCCCTCTAGCACATTCCCTCCAAAATCGTATTCTCAACGTGGCCCTAATATATTTTTTCCTGTAGGGCTATTATACTCCCCCGGTCTCAGTTTCGTCGCGGCAAATTGACTTCCTACAAATTCAGCTAGTTGGTGGTGGTGCTCAGTTGTCTTTTTCGTGAGTTCCTCTATCATTATCTACTTCTCTTTATCCACGTCGGCTCTTCTGATGTCAAAAAAGGTCTTACAGATCCAAAGGGAGCATCCGATCGCGATGTGCCTTGGACAGTCAACTACTGGATGATATGACTTTCACCGCTAAGAAACAGGCTGTCCCCCTAGACTTTTCGTCCTAAAATCTAAATCATTGCTAAATAAGTTGCGCGTTCGGCATAAATGTTGAAATTCCTGAAATCTAACGACCGGAGTGTTTTCTTCCGAAGTTCGCACTCGAATACTTGCACTGACGAAATGTACAAAGGTTAAGATCCGCCTCTTTCTCAAATTGTTTGCTGAAGGAAAATAATTAACGACCTGGATAAGTTTCTCCTCCATTTATCTTTTCGCCGTAGGATGCTTAGGTTCTCTCCTCGATTTTATCAGCCAAACGATTTTTAGGTTCTTTTTTGATCTGACGTATTTTGGGCAGGCTAAGAGATTGTCTGAAGAAAAGATGCCAGTTGAAATGGTCAACCTTGGCCGAAACCGTCCGTTAAATGCCGCTCAACTCTTTCCAGCACTGTCAGAACTTGTAGAAATATGCAACAACAATCTTCTGAGACGCTCTCGGAAATTTAGAGTGACTTATCCGTGATAGTGTGAACTCAGGGCGCTACAATCATCCCATGTTGGAAAACGAAGAAGAAGACAGAAGGCACCGGAATCCGGTTTTTAATCTATACAGAACCCAGAATTGTCCTCTCTGGCGGCAGTGGCCATTGGCAAACTCAGTGCCGTTGTTGACAGCGTCTTGTCATGCCTAAAATTCCTTGGGACAGTAGTGACGGCCGCATTTTCAGGCTCGCGGGTGAAGCTCAAATTGTCTCCATCCGGTGT